AGAGAGAGAGTGAAGGTATGAAAAGAATAAAAATGAAGGGAAAAAGATAAGGAGATGAGGTGAAAAGAGATCCGATAGGCTACCGATGGATTTTTGGGGCGTGACAATTTCGATTCATCGAGGGCCTAGCAGAGTTACACGCATCTGTCCTCGAAGGGACATCTGTCCTTCTGTATTGGCCAATCGGTGCACAGGGCCCACAAGGACCTTTTATAGGACCATTAGATCCTGCTTAGCCGACGCGGGCCAATTGTAGGGTGTTAAATAAATAAGGGTTTCGACGCAGCCCCCTTCCTTCTATGTTATACATTACTTCTTAGAAGCATTCTTTGGCCGATTTATAGGAAGAATACTGGAGAATATGTCAGTGAAATGTGTCGTGGATCAGTGATAGGTTTAAATATAAAATATAAAATTTTAAGCGTAATATTAACATCAAATTAAACGCGAGTAAATAAACTCGTTGTATAAATTAAATGTAACATGAAAATGTTACGAGTATGTTGATATGTGATCATTCGTTTGCGCACGTATGTGTAAAGAACGGATTTCATTTTGTTTGAAAAATTTCGTATAGAATATATTTATGATATGTTTATCTATGTTATTACAGTTACATTGTCGTTTGCAAGTATTTGGAGGTATTTTTGTGGATTTGTCGAGTGAGTAATATACAACTTCAGACACGTGTACTCACATGATTTTTAAGAAACATATGTATAGTATAAAAAAAAATATGCGAATGCAACGAAATATTAACAACGACAAGATTTTTAATCGTACAAATTCTTCAAGTATTCTATAAATCATTATTTGTCAGTAATCATCAAAATGTTCTTCATCCCCTTAAAATTTGTCATTCGCAACGATATGAAATTGAAAAAGTATCATCAACCTTCCTTTCTTCAATTTCTAATGTTTGCAAAATTGCAATAATTGATTCTTCCAGTGGGAAATACAAATATTACGAAAACTCACTGCGGTTATTTTTCCCTCCCCTTCTTTTCGTCTAAACGTATAATGTATCAAAAGACTGTTGATTTCACCTATCACAGAATTGAAATTAATTTTATCGAGAGTGCTCATATGAAGTACACACCTTGCGCAACCTCAGATCATCCGTTGAAACAAGCATGGTGTATTTCACTCACTCACCATTAACTTCCTCCAAAGGCTGAGGTAGAGTGGTTGGTAACGTTGGACCAGTCGGCCATCCGAGTAATCCAGGTGGTGGCGGTGGCAGAGTGCCTCTGTTCAAGTTCGCGTATATCGCCGGTTGTAACATGGCGGTCGTGTGCTCGAAGAACTGTTGATAAGCCGACGGAACATCGTTCGTGGTCGGTAGCACCGTGGTACTACCTGCAACGAGAATTACCAAAAACCATGTCTTTAATATCGACTTGATATGTGGCATCAACTTTGAAATCTTATGGCTTGAAACTCTAGCTCTGTAGATCAACTGAACTAACTAAATTCGACGAGAATTAGCAGAAACCATGTATTTAATATCGAGTTGATATGTGCATCAACTTTGAAATCTTATGGCTTGAAACTCTAGCTCTGTAGATCAACTGAACTAACTAAATTCGACGAGAATTAGCAGAGACCATGTCTTTAATATCGACTTGATATGTGCATCAACTTTGAAATCTTATGG